AGATAAGGTGCCGGATACACGCTCTCCCGCGACCTCGTTATGGACATTGTTGGATCTGACTGGGCTAGTTCATATGTCGTAGGCAATGAGGACTGGCTAGTGGGTGAGTGGGTATGTTATGTGGCTAGGGAAAAAATGTACTTTGTACATTATGTCGGCTTTTCAAGTTGGGTGTCCATCCGTCAAAATCCCATCCATGACTTTGACGAGAATCTTGACCTCCACTTTGCCGAAACCATAATGATCCATCATATTAAGGATATCAATAAATTAAATGCCATTAAAAATGTGTACTCCGAATATGAAGAGGGATTGCCAATGGTCAGAGTTATTCGGAATTCAACAGCTGAAGGCCTAGCTACAAAAAGGGAACTTGCTTCAAAATGCTGGACTGCACTTGAAATAAAACAATTATTTAATCAATCTACGCAGAGTTCCTACAAGAACTGGTTCTATGAAGCTTGGGGTTTTAAGGAGGGAAGGTGGTATGGAAATTATGGGCCTGTGAATAATATAGGGATTACTGGATAAAATTCATACTTTAATAATTTCGAAAATGTTACTGTATCAAACATGTTATAATATTGCCTAAAATTGTATAATAACTATCATTCTTACGTTTGTACTATAGATTGACAAATATAAATCCTTTTTACATTTATAATTGCTTATCACTAATTAGTATTTTTTAAAAAAACCCTTCGAGGTAATAATTATTTGGGGACGTCAAGTGACGCTATTTGTATAATTTTATTCAAAACTAGTACAATATAAGGTGCGTGACAACCCTTCTCTTGGAATCAGATTATCTGATTTTTGTTTGGAAAATCGACCCGTTCCGAACATTTACAGGATGTTTATTGGGATGTTACAGTATATGTTTTTTTATACCGTGCGGACAACCTAGTCACAGCAAATAAAAATTTTTAGCGACCAAATTCAGGTTTTATTTTTTATATATATTAAGAGGCCAATTTGAAACTTTAGCTAATATTTAGGCCGCGCAAAGTCGATTTTTCGTTTTGCATTACATGGTTTTCAAAATTTCGGTCGGCGGGCGGATTTTTTTT